CTTATTTGGGTGAGGACTCATGCACTTCCAGATGTCGATTCCGAAGATGAAGATTGAGACTGACTTCAAACTAAAAGAAGCACTGATAGCCTTGGGTGTTTCTGAAATGTTCTCAGATAACGCCGATCTTAGTGGAATCTCAAGCATGAACCAGCTAAAGGTGTCCGATGCAGCGCATAAAGCTATCATAGAGGTTAGATATACATTTCGAATAAAGAACCAATCCTATATCGCAAATGCAAAGAGAGCGCTTCCACGCTCTTGACTGATTTGTTTCCTCTATATTCCTCATAGAATCCACCTGCACCCTAAGATATGCTTTTTCAACTAGTTCAAAAATATTATTTTAGGTGGACGAAGAAGGCACAACGGCAGCAGCTGCCACTGCGATCAAAATGGTAGCAGAATCAGCGAGAATGGACGATCCTATAATGTTTATTGCCGACCATCCTTTCATATTTATTTTAACGAAAAATAAGCATCCTCTTTTTATGGGACAGTTTATGTAAACATTTGACAGCTGAAGAAAGTTTTTTCCTCCGAAAATGAACAGTTTTTCACTGCTGACTTAGTACAGTGTACAGCGTGAACATACCGATCAAAATTATTCTCATCTAATGTCCAACTTCAATTGTAGCAAAACAAGTTTGATTAGTTTTTTACGTAGCACATTCCCTTTCAAGATGCGTTAGCCTTTCTGAGCAGTTCTTTCGGCTAAGTGTTCCTTCTGTAGCAAGTTGCTTCTGATTCGTTGGAAACCTAAAGCAGCACACCCTATCTTAGTTAAATTAGGATGTTATCACATGTTGTAAAATGTGTTATCACACTCATTTTCTTTATACTTCTATAGAACATTTGTTGGACGCTTAATAAACCAGGAGAGAAGGGAATAGGTAACAAAGGAATCAAACGTTTTTTGTAAATAATTTTGCGACCCTCTGTAATATAGGAGATAAGAAACTGAAGAGAAGACCTAAATAAGGAAACTATTCGAAACATTGAAAAGTTTCGGTCCGTCATACTGCACGTAATTTCTTTTTATGCTACCAATACACCTCATAGTACCTGTTGAAATGAAACATTAAATGTTGCTAGTGCCACGCTCGTAAGTAAAAAAATATGCCTCGAAATCCGAATTCCAGAACTTTCACTGAAACTTGTTAGGGCATCGGCGAGATGTGAAACTACAGAAGCATAGAAATCTATTTGATTGCTTTGGATTTGATGGGGACACAAGATATTTCCGATCGGTTTACCATTGTTAACGCCATTTTTTCTGACAAACGAACTTGTTTTTTGAGCCTAAGTGCACGATGAGTTACCCAGGGGTTTATGGAGGGATAGTGGCTATTTTCAGGAGGTTGACGCTCTTGAGTGAACACATATAAGCCCTTATTTAAATCTATAATCTACCACAAAAAATTTAACAAAGTAAGAAAAAATGATTTGCATAGTACACTCATCAGACACAGATATAAAGAACCTTAGAGAAATAGTCGTTAATTTTTACCTTTTGCACTTCTATCGTCCATGCTCCTCTTCATTTCATCTACATTTTATGTGATCAAGGCTCGGCTGCAGGTCTCCGAAGGGCAATCTGGAAGTCGTTTCGGAGAGTAATGCAACGAGGAAATTGTACGGGTTGCTGGAATCCGACGCCTTTTCTAGTACTAGATTAAAGCGTCTTCGATAATTACCTAACACATAACTCACATGTCCTCAAGGCTACTTGGGAGTGTGTACACGGGGAGTCCGAATATATTTCTCACTCATTGTTTTACTAAACAAAGAGACGATAAGCAGTTTCTAAGTTTGGAAGAAGGACGCGCAACAAGGAATTTAAGAATAGTATGCAAAATATGAAAACCTACGAAGTTTTTGAAAAATTGCGGTACCTCTCTGTGGTTCAGGTATTCAGCGGAGATCTCAAGTCTTTACGTTTCCGAATAGCAAACAATTTTT